GAAGTGACGGCTTTCTTGAACACGGACGTTGTGTCTACATTGTAGCTGAAACATCTTATCTGGCGTCTAGAACGCAATTATTATGAGTTGTGAGTGCCAGCTGAGCTGAACACAAGCTGGACACCATTCGTCAGCTGGGAATTTGCATCGAAGCTCTTGATAGCCACGATAAGCATAATTATACAGAGGTAACCTTGTTTGACTCAATACGCATGCAGGTGATACCACTAGTGGCACTGCAATGTAAATGGTGCAAAATTGATCCAACAACGAATATGTACTTCGTACAATCACGAACATTTGTAAGGCAAGTGTTCATGCCTGTCATAGAAGAATTTCAGCCCGGAAGTCTTGTTGTCATGGTCATAAATAATACAGGACTTGAGTTGGCTCCGGACATAAACACACTTGTGGTGAATACGGTCATTATTGCGAGAAAAATATTTAGGCACTGTATGTTAACACCTGATGCCGCACTACACGCAATATTTCATGTACATGTATGTGAGACTCAATTGCATCCACAAGGCCGTAGATGCATGTAAGCACACAATGCTGTACAGTATAAGTAGTAGTCGACATGTGGTGCCTTCCTGCTGCACATGCACATGCGGCAAGTTGGCAACGACACATGACCTATCTGCACCGCACAGCGTGAGCTTAGAAAGGAATATTGCACACATAGTGCTATTTGTGTTCCGATATCGTTAAGCCGGTATACATGTACTAGTATCCTTATACATGTACCTGGTCACTCGATAGGCGATGCCGACTGTACTAATCTTATCCAAATTACCCGACAGGCTATAGCACACTGCCTCAGATCACTACGCAACAAAACAAGAGCTTTGGAGCGAATATACACTGAAGCAAAGTAGGTTTCAACGGTACAGCACTAGTCACGATGAGGGGAGTTACGAGGATGGTTAGGCCGTGACACATAGATGATGATTGGTAAATTCATGCACGGTGGAAAATTACCACCAATGGCGATGATATTGCTTTCACAACAATGACATCAGTAGGAGCAGTGACACAACCTTACTGCTCCAAGTAGGATTTACAAGCGAGTGAAGGGAGAGCAGACTGGTCTAATAGCAGACCGGGTCTAAGCAAGGAAGTAATCGGCATCAGAGGTGAGCTTGCACATCAGAAAACAGATGATGATCACCAAACACAGAGAAGTTGGCTATGTGTATGTTTGTGTCACTGTGTGTGCATGTGTGTTTGTGTGTATGCGCGCACATCTGTGTGTGAGAGAGAGGCAGACAGACAGATAGCATATGGTGGGAGGGATCAAGGTCTGACCTCAGAGTTAAATGCTGACGGTGTGGAATAGCAACAGTGCGAAATCGGGCAGGGTGGTTAATGGCCCACACTGGAGCCGAGTAGGAGCGCCAGTGGTTGAGGGCTAGCACAGGAGTAGCAGCAGCTCCAGCCTAGGAAGATCAGCTTCTGGATGAAAATCTCCCGGACACAGTAGGTACCAAGCTTCACTAGCAGATTGTCGGCAGGGGTGCACGGCGAGCACCCGTACATCCCTCAAGCCACCAGAGCCGCAGTACTTGGAGACGATCCAGGTGCTTACCCGCCAACAATGCTGAGAAGGCAGTGGAGCCATACAGGAACTTATGATCGAGCATGACCACAGACTTGAAATACAGGGTCCGGCGTTGAATACTGAGACAGCGACGTCTCCTCCACAGAACACCACTCAGCCCCACCATTGCATTATTTTCGTTTTTCATGATTTTTACAATTGTGTTAGAGCACACAGCACTCGATGCAACATTTACCAGTGACTAAATAACTCCGCGTCTCCGACCATAACTGCAGCGTCCCATGAGCCTGTTGGATTTCCGTCAGCCTGTTGAGATTATCTTCATCTCGTCACATGTGAGCCTGTGTGTTTAATCCGTATCGTGGCACAATTACACAGACACGATTTCCAACTCAGGCCGGTTCCGTTGCTCGAAGAGTTGGCGGTAAGAATTGCTACGCCGTCTGTGGCTGCATGGGAACTTGGCGAGTCGTCGTCTTTCTCCATAAATCCTGATCGTCACGCGAACAACAGCCACTATTGCCTAAAAACTACGACACAACAGTATCAAGCTCGCCCCAGCAGAAGGACACGAATGACGAGCGCTAAGACGGAGAAAGAGAGACAGGGTTAGCGAGAGCTGACTAGTGCAGGTACGCTGTCATCTCCTGAGGTGGTGGGCGAAGTAGCGAAGTGAAACGAAGGAAGATAGAACTTATTAGAAGGCATACGGAGGCACCAAAACCTATTGCCTGTCACATACTAAGTGCCATTTAGGGTTGACAGCTGTCAGCTGACAGCCTCAAAAATTTGAAAATCTGCTCAAAAAACTCTCGATCAGAACTCTGCGCACTCTCAAATGGAGCGCAAAGTAAAAAAACTCGGCGACGAAGAACGCTTCGTATCGACGCCCTGGACTGAATTCGGCACGTCTAACAAACGGAATAATGTTCTCTGATATATTCTCTACGTGCTGGGTATGGTCGCGTTTAGTTGGAAGCTCAGTGCATCACCACTTTCGATTTTGAGACTTGGCCGATGGACTACAAGTGGTTGGGCACACAACAACCAACAAGTCTCACCAGAGCAAGGAGAAGTGGTTGAAGAAATGAAGCATGATCTTTCTTCAGAGACAGAGCTTTCTATATGTGCCAAGACTGAGAGAGTTCAGGTTTCACATAACAACGAGCAACGGTTTAGACCAATCAGGAGATTGAGAGATGGCACAGATTCGGCCAATCAGAAGACATGTATTGGAAGAAAGTAAAAAAAAAGAAGGAAAGCTTATGGGATATGGGTGTTGCAATTCAGGACTACGTCACGTGTACTTGACGGTACTGGGCTACTCGTAACGATTCCAAAATCGCGGCCACGGTCTCCACAAAGAACTTCATCAACTGGCGACTGTCACGTGGCCTTGAAGAACACTTCACCGAGTCCCGAAGCAGAAATTCCAATCTGAATGCTCGGTATTCAGATTGTAATGCCTGAGTTGTCTTCCACACATCCTATTGTTTCTGTGTCCTGGCACATCTCCAGCTACTGACGTCCTCTAGTCGGTATGATAGGACTTGGCAGAGAGCATGTCCACTCGTTATCCAATCATCCAGCCACTCCCATGCCATCGCATCTTTAACGATGTAAACGGAAGCAAATCAATCCAGCCTAATATGGCTCGGTGAACAAAATAATAATATTCGATGATCTACTTGTAGCTATGTGTTGGCAATGTTGTTCGCGTTAGTAACAAACACATACTTACCTCACCCGACAGTGTGAACAATGTGCATTGCTTTTATCAACTTCGTTAATGTCAATTTCCAGGATTGCTGTAGTTCGAATCCAAGCTTTGATGTCATGGCCCTTTGAAGCTTCCGCAGAGGTGCTCTGGACACAGGTCTCGACGTTGAGAGTGATAATTGACATCTGCCTGGTCCTGTTTAATGTCGGGCGCCAGTCGCTGTGTTCAACTCCTTGCTTCCTATTTTCTGTTTATGCGTGAACGGGTACCTTTAGTCTAGATCTTGACGCCACTGAGTGGCAGTGTTGCTTCCTATAGTGCATATCCGTATGCCACTGTGGCATTGATTGGAACTACATCGCTACAAGCACACATGGTTGTGTTGATCAACTGAGCACAATCTGATGGTGGATCCCTGTCATTAGGCCTTGACGGATTATGCTAGCATAATTTTTCGCATAATTCCTACCAAAATCGAATAATCGCATAATTCGAGGCAAATTGCATACGAGTCGCATAAAATTGTAATAATCCGCCTGTTCGCATCAAATTCCATACAGTTGTACATGTTCTACAAGTACAAATACAAGTACATTGTAGATGCACCAGGAAGTTGTAGGTTTACGACTCCCTTGATAACATGTCCTGTCCACTACAATCAGTGATGGTCGTAGCTAGGTCGGACGGTGCGTTGACCCCGTTGAACTTTTGCTACTACAGTACAACGCCCTCTACAAAAAAATCCCCCTGTTATTTTGCACAGAACCATTATGCATTAGCAGCATATGTGAGCATAATGCGGCATAATATGATAACTTTTAGCATAAAAAATAGCATAATTCTGCAATTTTTTCAGCAATGCGAAAAGCATAATTTCACGAAAATATTAGCATAATCCGTCAAGGCCTACCTGTCATTCCCTGATCTACTTCAGTATAAACGAATTCCGACCTTACAGAAAGAGAGTGTGATCTGGGAATACAATTTTGGGCATGAGCACGAACAACACAGTCATGTAAACGCAGGTCTCTCTTATCCGGACCTCGAAGTTACGGACACCCGGTCTACCGAGCACCCTGTGGACCGGCTTTGGTGGAAATATTACTACTAGTTTGCAAGTTTGTGTGGAAATGGTGACGTCATAATGCCAGATTTCGGCCCCTGCCTCATCAAACTGTACAGGATTTAGAGTTACGCACAGCGCTGGCAACTGAAATCCGACCCCTGAGTGGTGCGCTTACATCGCAAAGACGCAACACTAGGATCGTAACACTAGGAAAAAGAGACCGCTAGAAAGTGAACGTACCGCTCAGGGGGTCGGATTTCAGTTGCCAGCACTGTACATTTCAAAGTTGCGAACAGTGCCCAGTCCCGGACCGTGCGGATAAAGAGAGATGTGAGTGTCCTGGCCCCTGGGTGCTGGGTTCTGCACTAAGCTGTGCAGCATGCAGAAAGCCAGCTTCCCTTCAGGAGACTGCTGAGTGAACATTCGGGAGCCTCACTCACTTGGCTCTAAAACTCTAGCTCCATCACCTGTCAAGAGCTCTGGAAATGCTTTGTATTGTATTGTATTCTTTTTCATATTTTACTTGGGCATTCCCAACAGACCCTAAGGTCTTCTTACAGGGTGCCAGATGTACATTATAATCCATTACTTCCCCTCTCTCTGATTTCCCCATGCAGCGCACCAAAGCTCTTCGCCGCCAAGTTGTGATAATATATCCTGATCAAGTTGTCAAAAACGTAACTATGCAGACCATTCGATTACACGTTGAATCACAAATAGAGCAGAGACGGGCAGAAGGAATTCTAGGATGAGTGCAGTCAAAGATGTACAGCACACGCAGAGGCATAGGTATCATTGTTCCAAGTTTGGACACAATGCCGTATCATATGGCTTAACACGCGCGCACACACACACACACACACACACACACACACACACACAAGCACACACAACGGGGGGGGGGGGGGGGCACATACCGATAGCCGTGATCACGTACGCAACATGTACATTCTATACATGTACATATAAGTCTCTAGTTTCCAGCAGTAGCAACAATACACATTTCTACGTAAATACTCAAGTCCGATCCGGTACATGTAGTTTTCATGCAGTGCTGGGAAGCAAACAGCAACCCATGTCTGCGGTGCTTGGTCCAGTACAGTGTATTGCGTAACATATCTGGTGACATAAGCTATCGATTGCTCTTTCACGAGCTTAAAGCCTAATCCAGTGGCCAGCGTTGCCCATACATGCCAGCTACCACCTTGCTGGTTTTGGTATTGTAAGTGCTCACACAGGTTCACAGGAAGCTTGATGATGGAGGCTTGACGAACCACACACAGAGGGATCGTCCGTGCATAGCATGCCTGGTTTGTCTTTGCACTACCACTTTATTTCCTGGAATGAGGGCGTGTTTGCTGGGTCGTGCCGCCTCAGCACAGCCCACCTCAGGAATTTGCAGATCAGACGCGCTACCCTCTTCTCCTGTGAGCCACACAAGAACACAGGGACAAGAACACTGAGTTAGCAAGCATTGCATGTAGTCACCAGAACAATGAAATCTGTGATACGTAGGCTGGCACACAAACAAACACACATTAAAAACACGGACACCACACACACGTACCCCCCCCCCCCCTCACACACACATATAGTAGTAGTATTTATTATTTTACTAGGGAAATCCCCACAGACTGTGAGTCTTTTTACAGGGTACCCTAGGTAAGTGTGTGAAATAGAGCTGAATGAAGAAAGCCGTAAGACAGTGAAATAGAGTAAAGAAAAAAGAAAACGGTGGCTGCATGCTATGCCATTAGGTGTTGCAAAAGAGGCTGCGAAGAGTACTGTTGAACATTGCAAAGGAGGCTGCCTGGCGGCATGCTGCTGGAAGCGAATTCCACCCGTCAGCAGCCAGGTATGCACATAGGTGGACGTGCACTTACACACACACACACACACACACACACACACACACACACACACACACACACACACACACACACACACACACACACCATGTACCATATATACGCCTGTCGCAAGAGAAGCACGCAAATCTGCAAATGCACTGGATGTGCACCCACAGCTTTTCTCTTATAGCAACGATAGCGAACAAGATCTGAATGAGACAGATCAAAACTTGCGCCAGATAACTGTCTAATCCACACAACTGGCGAAGCCATGTGAATCGACCACCAATGCACACCTGGTCTACACCACACGGAGTACATCGGCATAAAACGGCCAAGACAGTTACTAGTACCTATGCACGCCCTACACTTGCTGGTGTAACCAGTATAGACAGCACGCTGCTTTGATAGAAGCAGACACTAGATGCACTGGTACCTTGAAGTGAAATTGGAGTTACTTTACCAACCAGCCTCGGCTAATGAGTACTGGGAACCCAGAGCCAACAGACATACCAACAACCTCAGCCATGAAAGCTATTATAGTAACGACACGGATCATTACCAGCAATTATATGACATCCCACAGAGTCCGAAATTCCGTAAAATATTTGCGCATTTACTGCAGAGATTGATCTTGGAAGGAAGAAAATTGCTCTGAACTATGGCCATAATCGAAATGTAAGGCATCAAACTAGTGAATCACGCCAACAAGACGAACAGTTACACAACGAAAAAAACGAAAGTGAAAAACATTGAACAACCGATGCGATCTCAACTCCTAAGAATCATGATTTTCTTCTCCACTGAAAAGTATCTGTTACCTTGGTGATCTTGAGGAAATAGCAAGAATTGACCTTCTTCATGGTCATTTCTGAAGCTTCCTCCAAATATTGTCAGCCAACAAACCACAGCATTGTCACCTGGCTAGTCTGATCTCTGTCCTCAAGAAGGACCAGTTCCAAAAGATTGCAGGTCCAGTGCGCTTTCTAACTTCAAAGATCTAGGAAATCGCCTCATTCTGCACATTTCAAGCAGCTTCTCAATTGTTTCTGGCTTGACATTGAACAGCAAGAAGATGAAAAGCACTTCTTTCTCAGTTTTTTCGAGTGAACTACCTCTCCAACCGCGTGGCTTTCTCTGAAGGCCATTTTGTAGGGGCTTTCCCATGGCCATGAGCTGGATGCATGCCATGTCGATGTACTGACATGACATGACATGATGCATGCTGTTATGATGTACATGTACAAGGACGTAGACTACTCAGTGACTACAGTCACCCTGGTCACTACTCTGTAGTCTAATGTAGAGTGACTGAGTCAGGGAGTCGAATTTTATGACTGCCTGTTGATAAATAGCAACTTGTTTGGTGTAAATTTCGTTTAGAGTGGCTGACAGCTTGGCCAGCTTGATACTTGGTTTCATTCTGCAGCTCACTGGTTTGAGAATACAGTGTTTTTTTGCAGCTTCTTCAACGGATATTGTGTACCATCATCAAGGTGGTTACCTGTTTGTGATGCAGCTTCAACTAAAAGTACAACAACAAAAGCAACAGCCTACATTCAACAGCCACAGCCCATGACAACCAGAACAACAACAACAACAACAACGACTACAACAACAACAACAATAACACCAATTCTTGTTCCTCATATACTGGCACACACAGAGACATAGACAGCAATAGCGGCAACACACAAATTAAAGGGTAGTTGGCCGCAGCCAGATGTGACACTTGCGCGGCTAGTAGGGAAGCACTAGCCATCGGTATTCGGTATGAAAAGATAGAATCTTGCGGCCTACGTATATTGAATGCCTTGAAAAACGCGTCAACATGTTGAAGGTATGACCAGCATCAGCCAAGGACTGATGGTCAAAACAAATACCAAAATACACTGCTATAATATTAAAACACACGATCCTTGAAGGGTGGTGGCGCTCCAACGGATGCGGAAAACTCGGCCTTTAGCCGAGTTTGACGCGAACAGTGAAATATACAAGTAATAATAAGTAAACAGAACTACAAGGACACATTATGTCACCATAATGTCAGCTGCGCAACCAGTCACTCATCTGACATAAGAATTTTTGAAGCGGCTAGTTGTCTGGAAACTGGGCATGCTTCCAGTTTGTGTCGGTACTTTCAAACTCTGGTTGCTGCAGGTGAAAAGAGATTCTCGCAAACCTATTAAAATGCACGGTTGCAGGCAGCGGCGTACAAGAATAAAAAGAAACGGAAAGAAATAACAAGGGTGCTTCAACGTTGACTGGGTTCGATCACTGAACACTAGACAAGAATGTTTGGGAAACAAAGGTAGAAGAACTAGTCAGCCTCAAATGCTACCTCAAGGACACACAGCGTATCCAAAAAGTAAAGAAAAAAATGGAAAATGGTGAGCTGGAGGCGACTGTCGCCGACATCACTGAGCAGTGCAAAAGGTATGGGCAGACAAAAACCAATAGGAGAAGACCTACACAGTACTGAAGGAGATGTCAAGCATGAATGCCAAACCTACAAGTGAACCTGAAGGAGAGGAGGATGTGGATGATGCCATCTTGGCTACCCTGGCCAAAGATTTCTCTGAGCTACGGCAGCACATACCTGCACAGGAAAACCAGCAGAAGCATAACGGAGAGCCTCATCATATCGTTGGGAAACGGCAACAGCAGCACAACATGAAGAAATAGAAAATGTGTGCTGAAGCTGCATTCTGGTTTACAAGAATGTTTGGGTCTCACTGCTAAATTACCTCGTACACATGGCCTGTGTAATTGCTTTAGCCTTTTCTCTGCTCTTTCCGGTTGCACAGATGTTTAGCTTGTACATGTGCTTTCACTTACTCCCGCCCACTCTCACCTCTCTTTCCGGGTATATACGGATATCATTGCTTTTTCTTCTATCTTTCACACTAGTAATGTACTGCGTCCGGACTTCGCTAAAGCTTAGATAAATATTGATACCTAAATCTATAACTTGCACTGCTTCCAGGAATACAATGCTGGTGATGCTATGCTTTACCTCCATTAGCCGTCTGTGCCATTGTGCAGATTTGTATTCAGACAAATTAGTTTCATGCTACAATGCTTTCGTTGTGCTCTGCGGTAAGCTCATGATTAATCAATGCCCTTCTCTGTGGAAGAGACAATCTGCCGGGCAGCACGATCCCCTCCTGTCATAGATCCAGAGGAGTACTGCAGGAACGTACATGGACTACGGCGAATCATAGGCTTGAAGGTAATCAGGTAGTGAGCCCGTGGGCCTTGTCCATGTACGTTCATGCAAGCATCCCAACCTGGAGGAAAGAACTTCACAGGGAAATTCTTCGGTCCCAACCAGTCCAGTTTCTGATTCGAAAGTCAGAAATAGACTATTTCACTTCAAGTAGGAAAACTTCCTTCTGCCAGCGGAGAGGGCTCGACACAATAATGTGGAGCACTATTACACGTAAAACTCCATTCTGCCTTTTGTGACTATTTCACTTCTATTTTTTCACTGCACAGCAGTGCAAGCTCCATCAGCAGCCTCAAACATTCGTCATCTGAGAAAGGGCCCAACATTCCCCGAACCATCAAAATATCTACAGCAAACAAAAGGGAGATTTTCAAATTCATGCAAGAATACATTCAATAAATTCACCCAAAATGAAATGAAATCACCTGATCGATTGTCACTGATATCTTCTTCATACTCCCAAGTTCGTAGAGGATAAAGTCTCTCGATTTCACAAGGTACTGCACGCTGCCAACCTAAAGCAACAAAATTCACAGTGCAACGAACAGCTCAATTGTGTCGACCTCGCGACCTGATTTATTACAATAAAATAAACGTACCTTCTTTCCCACTGTCGATCCGGTAAGAAGCAGCGAAAACTTCAGGCCCCTAAGACTGCTTGAATTTTCTCCACAGCGGACTGCTGCTGAAAACATCAGCTTGGCGTAAAAACCAGGCTCATTCTGTCTATGAGATACCTAGCGTAAATGAGAGCCTTCTCGTCGCCAGCCACAACAATAACAACAACAAAAATCACCTCCACCGAAAAAGACATGCAGAGAGCTTGTTGTGTACAGCGTGAGTTCAAAAAAATCCTTTTTCATTGAGATCACAAAAAAACTTCACACTCGATCGCGCGAGCTCAGCACCAGCACAAGGCAGCAGTGACGTTTGGGTGGAAATATTTTATTTGAAAAACTTTTGTCAGGCGCGATGTCGCTGATTGCTGGTGATGTTGTGGAGCCGAAACTAGTCCAACTTCCAAATGCTTTGGCAAGAAGGTAGCCTTCCAACACACACACACACACACACACACACACACACACACACATACACACGTACACACACATCAGATTCTATGCATGCATGCACGTACACACACGCACACATGCACGCACACACGCATCCATGATCCCAAAATCGTAGCGCTTTCCCACTGTCCGGTTCAACTCAGATTGTCACAAATCAACTCCTCTCACGAGTGCCTCTACCATTTTATGAAGACACCTCACACCAGGTTGTCTACTTACCGTTCGTTTCATGACCTTCCAGCGTCGGAACTCCCAGATGTAGCGTCGCGATCGAACCTGCAGATAACATTACAATCATACATCAAAAACAGAGGTGGCCGCGCATGTTAGCTACGAAGTATAGGACAGGTCCAATGCCCGGCTGGTGTGCAGTGGTGATGTGGGGGTTAGCGGAAATGTACATAATAATTTCTCCGTGGCCACCCTGTAAGAAGACCTTAGGGTTTGTTGCGAATGCACAGGTAAATTTTTAACATAGAATCCAAATACAAAATTCTATATTGCTCAAACGGTCAAGCTTGGTCTGAACGACAATGGCAGGACACAGCTATATATATTTTTTTTAATTCACTGTTGGTGCGAGGCTCAGCTAGAGGCTAGAGGGCGAGTTTTCAGCATCCGTAGGAACACCCCACTACCTATAAAGGAAACAGACTAGCATGTCGTTACACACCACCAAACACAACACTCCACTAACGGATGGCCATATCTCAGCATACACACGGGCGCCCGATCAGGTTGGTGGGGGAAGTTAGGCTACCAGCTACTGAAGAGTGAACACCAGTTCTGCAGCCGTGTGTAACTGGGTAGCTGAAGAACCAACCCATTCGGTGCTTGAATGGCAGCTAGTTGAGGGGTGGGAGGGGGGGGGGGCAGGAGCGCTCTGGTCATACTTATACCCATCATATGCATCTTCACGAGCTCCCACGTAGGGAGCAACACACAATTCTCCATATGCATCTTTACACGTTCATATTGTAGATAATACACCCCGGTGGTGAGGGTGGGTTGGGGTGGTTTGGGGAGGGGTGGGTCCAAGACCCTTTGTGATATTCCCCGGAGCGCATTCGTGAGGGCTATCTTCGGATTTCTACACTTTCTCGGCAATCCACCACTTCCGTACGTAAGTTCTTATGAATGATTTGAACACGTATGTTGCCCAGGTGCCAGGCATTTAGAAGACTAACCAGCACAACAACTTACTTCGTATCCTCGCCAGTAAGACTGGATGATGATCGCGGCGTTAACGTCTGACAGTGCAGATGCCAGCGGGATAGGGCTCAGCTTTCTGTGGCATCGGACAAACACATCAGAAAAATAGAAAAAAATCAAAGTTTGTGGGAGACTCGATTGCAGGCCGAGTCTCGTCAGGCGAAATTACTGGTCAGTCGGCGACACGCATTTTTCACAAAAAATTGCGTTTCACCTGCTGGGAGAGTATGCGTGTACTCGAGTCTCATCCTGAGCACGTTTTTTTCTTCTTTTTTTCAGCTCCAGTATAGCTGTATTTTTCATTGCAAAGCCGTCCTCGATTGTTGTGTTCGTTGTTCAAACGAAGTGGACATTCAATCATGAAGGCAGAGGACATAGGAGCCTGATTGGAGTTTCTCGTGGCATAGGACGGCCACACAGAGACACTTTGGGATTTTCTGAATATAAAATACCGTACGCACGATGCTGAGATCAATTTGTGCGATATCAAATTGTTTGTGATCTACCACATCGAGCAGAACGGGATCCAAACACAAGCTTACCGACGGTTAGGCTGCCGACCTGACTGGACAAATGATCCCTGGCTTCACCAGACGCCAGAAGTCGGACACCATGTCCTTTACCGCGACGTCCATCTCCAAAAAGAACTCCATCTTCGTCGTGAAAAGGCTTGAAATACTCAATATTCAACCGAGATTCGCGGACTCGCGCTTTCTCGGATCGATTAATTTCCTGCTGGAACAGTTGCAGGGCAGCTTCCCGTCACTGTTTCAACAGGCGATGGCTCCAAAGCATGCCAGGAACAAGCCATATCGAGGTTGCAAGCCACCCCTCTCAGCAAAAAATTCGAAGAAATTCGAAATTTCAATGGTGGAAGATATACTATGAAGAGAATTTCAAAAAGTATGTTTCGCGGAGCGATCGCTCAACCTACGTCAGTCAAACTTTGCAGGATGGCTCAGACGTACATGCTAGGCATGGAACCACAGGCGATGATGCCAAAGCTGACACACAGAGTAACACACACAGCAGATTCGTGTGCACAGATACTAAATTAGTGGACGTCGTCATCTTCTTCCCGCTGATCTCGAATGTACTATGACGTGCTATTTCGCCTGACGCCCACATCTGTAGGAACACCACCACCCTCTATGGGTCAATATTGTGTGGAGAGTGGGAGATTCCCCTGTTTTGTTAGTAAAACCCACCACTACAATGTGTCCGAATTGATTAAAACGTCCCGGAGAGATTAGCAAGAGATGATCAAAAGCCTAAATAAGTACCCCCTACTGTACATTTCCTGTAGAAACGTGGCGCAGGCTAAGCGACACCTGCAGTTCGTCCCATGTCACATAAGACCCGTTGTGTAATGAAACACGTCAGCATAAGGTACGCTGGATGTAACACACCAGGGGATACTGGCATGGGAAGTACTAATTCTCAACAACCCTGATGCAACTGTAAACAGGGGGTCACAGTCATGTCTTTGCGATGCGCAATGAGACGTCCCCGAACCGGGAAATCCCCAAATCGCCGCCATCTCGCAGCTCACACAACTGTCTGCTCCTTGCTCTCACCTTTGCAGCAGGTACTTTTTGACGTAGGGAATGTCGTCGGCCCTCAACGTCCGTCGTATGTCGTGTTGCAAATTGTTCCTGGATTAGAGAACAACGAGGTAAGTGAGAGAAATGTAAACAATCAACGTGGAGACAACACTTTTAAAATTCCAATGAAAAGAACAAATTCCGCCGTCATCACCGCACAACAAAGAAGTCATGAAGGTTTCCAAAATCGATTTTCAAGTTACGTTCATGGGTGGAACGAAATCAATTCTGGAAACCTTGATATTTTCTTTGTTGTGTGGTGATGACGGCGGAATTTGTTTTTTTCAGTGCTATTTCAAGTGAGAGCAGTATGGTTTTTATATGTTTGTGGCCTCAGGGTTCCTCAACTCAAAACACGCAAACACGGTCTCTTTGCTACATACGTCATTCGAACTGTTCACCAAATTTTCGTATTAATACAATTTTTTAGAAATGTTTGGGGCCTGCCGTCAGAATTCTAAAAAATGCACGGGTCCAGGAACAGGGAGGATCAAACATGTGGCATTGCTATAGCAACCAGGGGTACATAATGAATATCATACCTGTAGAGGTTAACGCTTAACCAGTCGATAGCATTGAACTCTTTGTGCTTGGGCAGCTGCTGGTACAGCTGCAGGGTGCGTTGCAGTGCCGGTAGCAGCTCCGGGTAGATGAAGTTCTCCGCGTACTCCACCGGCGAACCTGTGTGTGTGTGTGTGTGTGTGTTTGTGTGTGTGTTTGTGTGTGTGTGTGTGTGTGTGTGCGTCACACGAATTAGAGGAATGTACATGGGTGAGTGTACACACAGAGCGGGCACTTTGAGCAGGTTTTACAGCTCTTAACAACACTGCCCCACTGGGAAACGAGAAACGGGTGAACATTGATTTTGCGGACTCATTGCAAGCTAGGATCTCCAGAAGAGATTGTAGCCTAGGAAGGTAATTTTTCGGGATGACTCCTCAAACCTTGTGAAGTTCTGACTTTTCGCGAGTAACATAACGTTACAGACACACGTGCGTGTCCCCTGTACATGGGACACTGCATACAGTGTTGCTGAATGAAACCCGATCGCGTCACGGGCAAGTTTGCGCCTTGCACCATTTCGCAGCCCAGCGTTCGCAGGTCTAGGGCTGTGCAATGCCCGGCGTGTACTTGAGTGACGACGCGACTGGATTTCAATGAGCAGTACAGTACATGTAAAGTACATGTACTGTAGCGGACATGGAAATCCAGTCGATCGACCGGGGCCGGCGCCCTCAGCGCGTATAAAACGCTGCGTGCAGTGCACATGTTGATCCGATGCGACGAGCGCGCTGCAGCACATAAATGCATGTGTGTACAGCTTGTCCACGGCTGCATGGCCAGCGCCCTGGGGACGCTAGACGTGCGACCGGATTTCCATGTCCACGACAGTAGATATCTATAGCTGAACCTGCGCGTGTCCCGTCAGCCATGTGCATGGGACACTCTACATGTCATGTTGAGCTCCTAGCCAGCACAGTCTCCATTCACTGTCTTCTTGATGAATACATTGGGGCGGACCAGGGGGGGGGGGGGGGTCCTTGGGTTCCACAGAACCCCCAGAACCCCCTAAATTTGGCAAATGTACTATTTTCATTTTATGTTACTGCTGGAAACCATAATTATGCATGCTTGGTGCGTTACCGGCATGGCGATACTGAGACCTAATGGTCAGTGGAGTGCCTGTAGCCTCACCAGCACTGCTACTATCTGTGACTGTGGCGACCACCATTCAATGTTTCGTCCTCCCCTAACCGTACCCCAACTCTCTCTCTCTCTCTCTCTCTCTCTCTCTCTCTCTCTCTCTCTCTCTCTCTCTCTTTCTCTCTCTCTCTCTCTCTCTCTCTCTCTCTCCCTCTCTCTCTCTCTCTCTCTCTCTCTCTCTCTCTCAGCTCTCTCTTTATCTGTCTTTTCTTACTCTTTTTTCTTTGTCAGCTTTCCTGGTGGTTATGTGCTTTTTCAAGTAAGTAAAAAATAAATAAATAAATGTACATGTACATGCATGTACATGCATCAGCTATTTCGTTTCGGCTAAACCGGAACCCCCTGTAGGCTGTAGAGATCTCTAGATCCGCTCCTGGTTTATGCCAGGTCATTCAATTATTATACTTGTATCATGTACATGTAGAGCCGACTCACAAGTCTTGCGATCCACGCTTGTGGTCTTTGCCAGATGTTTGGGCGGCATATCTAGCCAGCAGCTCTTGAAGTCCCACCGCCTATCCATAGCCATGGCGCGCGCATACAGCGAGATGGCGTCGATGTGCAGCGCGTGGAAGCGAGCACAGCTGCGCAGCTGCTTGGACGGCACAATCTTCTCCAGGGCCACCATGAACGGTAGCTCGCCAGGCCAGTCGCCCAGGTTCATGTACACGCCACGGCTGTTACTGTCATCCATTGTGATGCTATCGGTGAGGGGAGCAGACGTGCTGCGTTCTCAGCGGCGCCAGCCTCCGACCTGACCTACTCTCGCGGTTCTATAACACCTCTTTTTGAGACAAGAACTACTCCGAGTACTCGAAGCGCAATTGTAGCTACGGAGGCAGCGCTAGGTTCGGATCCTGCACATGTAAATTAATTGTATGTATTTCGCTTCCAATGTGTAGATTTACGAAGCTCGATCGTAGTTTCTTTGAAAGACTAGTAATCATGTAGGTACGTCACTACATGTATGTTGACATGACATGGCCTCGATTCGAACAAGTCGGCGGTGCGTTGTCGTCACGCGTTGCTACCATGTACCATGCGGTCGACCTGACTGACTCAGCGTAACGTTGGCAACCAGGGAGTGGTGAAGTGCCGGTACAATCATTGTAATTTTACTACTCGTGCAATTCGGGACATAATAATAGGGCTTGAAAGTGATGACGTCAAAAACGGCCAGGGAGTAGTAAGTTGACATCAGATTTCTATTTTGGATCCACTAAGGTGTGACTTTGCTATTGCCTCAGTATGTGGGTGCATAGCAACCCACTCATGTCGTATGCAGGGGTGACTTTTACTTCGCCACCAGTTGTAACCCCGCCCCCAGTACCCAAATCAGTCAGTTTCACTGGTTACATCACCTTGCTGTGAATAAGACCGCTTGAAATGCGCTTGGATCCATACAAAAACTGGATCCAAGTGGATCCAATTTTTGAATTTTTGAAATTGTTGCTATGCTGTGACGTAGCACTTTCAAGCCCTATTGGGCGTCGACCACCTGTGGCGGATTTCAAGAATAATTATGCTGATATGGCGGATAACGATAGGAGGGTAAGCGCAACAGCTGTTGCAGTTTCGGTGTGTTCATCGACTCGTTAGTGTAGTCCAAACTCCCCCACACGTGCTCTCGATCCGGCCAACCTCACTTGCCACAGTCCACTGAGTCGGAGTGACGGTGTGGGGGAGTTGGACCAGTGTCTGCTCCAGAGCCGGATCACTCAGGGTCAGCCTGGGAGTACCTAAACCCGCTTGGAAAAAGAACACCGGATCACGTGTGACTCGGTTGGGACTCAAGCAGGGAGTCCTATGGGGCTGTTAAGTGTGACGTCACGGCTCCTTCGATACGCATAGCAACGGAGAGCACTGGGGACAAACAAAAGTCGCGTCCTCTGGATGGAACCAGATGTCAAGGGCAACAGCATCTAAATGACTGGAGAGACAGTTGTTTTTCTTTGCTTTTTCTTCAAGCGATTGTTGTCGCTCTTTACTCCTTGTTCTTTTCTCTACAAAACTCCTGTAGTCGTCGAGTGCCTTCATGATGGCTGTGAAATTGGCTACCCACAGTAAAACTCCGTGTTTGAGAGTGCTTTGAAGATGTTTCGCGTCCTGATGGATCAAAGTATGAGCGCTCCTTGTGGATTCGATTATATATAGGTGAGTTGTTCAAGAAATCAGTGTCTTCTTTCTGTCTCTGCCCTCACGCTGGCACAATATCAGCCTCTATATCCATGACAGCTCGCACCTCCCGTAAACTGCATGACTTAGATATATTTTCGCCCTCCGTGGTGATTGAAGACCCATGGAAGAATTTATTATGTTCAGAATGATGTCCTAAGAATATAAAATAAAATAATTCTAGGGAATTGTCATAGGGTATTTTTGGAAGGATGGAGACAGAGAGAGAGAGCACTGTTTGAAGTGTTCGTCTCACTGTAATTACTCCAGATTATTGAATGTTGTATGATCTATTCTATATTTTCCATAATGGTTTTTCCTGATTTGCGGGATCTCTTCTTTTGCTGTTTGCGTGTTTACAGGAAGTGGCTGTCTGATGTAACTGCACCAGATCCTGGGGAAATTAAGTCAGATGCAGAGGCAGGGTCGTCCAGTGATGCAACACTGCCGTTCTGTGTGCAACGTTACCGCTAATACCCCCGGCGAAAACACAAAAAAGACTAACACGTGAAAAGACTACAGTATTGACCGTTCTGCTAATAAATGCATGACTGCTCCGACAGTCGATAATCGAAACACAGAGCACCAGCATGATGTTTTCATATTGGGAACCACACAACAGCTCAATTCTCAAGCCCAAAATTTGATGAATACAAATACAGAGCGACGCAACAAGAGATCATCCGGCAACCAAACAAACCTGGGTCTAATGCACTGAATAGTCCTGAAAAACGCAGGCCAGACAAAGCAGTGCAAGCACATAATGTTACAAGGTACATGCATTGCAGAACAAAGTGTAACCAAAGATACACAGGGTTATAGCTGTACACTTGTGCATGTGCTCGCTCAGCCCAAGAACACACGATCATGATGATAGAAACAATCCGGGGGAAACACGCTAACACCGAAGTAAGCATCAACACGTAAATAGTGCAGCTCTGAAAAAATTACATTGACATGAACATTGGTGTGTCGAGTAGTATCAGGCTTGAACAATCATCCAACCAAGACTTCATCAGGTCCCAGACGCTGAGATCGCACGCCGAATGTGAAGTGCATCTAGCCTTGAACCTGTCGCACAAGGCACACATATAATATTATGGCAAAATGACATCCACTCTGATTATTTCCAGAGGCCAATCATGACAGGACACAGAAATGAAACCACGGGCTCAACCAAGTAAACGCAAAGGAAGTTAGTCAAAATAATCTATGCAGTGCTCTTTTAATTGCAGCGCTGATTGCAGTGTTGCGTCATAGCCCGATACCCTCTGAGCACAGACACAACTCCATTCGTCAGGGGCAAGACATACTCTTTTGGAATAAAGTCATAAAGTACAGCGTTCCAATGACATTACGGACACCTCGTGTAAATGCATGGTCTGTTCATCTGGCCGACTCGGCCACGCATGAGAGTGTGTGCATGTACATGCGCGCGCACACACACACACCATGTATTCGGTGCGTATGGTGTACCAGTTGCGGGATAATGAAGATGGAATCATTATCATGATGTTACATGTACATCTACAGTGTATGTTTGAGTGTAAAGTAAATTTTATTTTATTGCACATTTCTTCGACACAACTAATTACTTACTTCACATGTTCGCATTTCTCATAATCGATCCACCTGCACTCCGTATCAGTCGAGGAAAAATTCTCCCAGATATACACTAGTCACCACAGCCATGTGATGACATTGGGATGGGCCCCAAGCACGATTGCACTCTCTAGTTACAATAAATTTGGCCAGATTATCTGTGAAGACAAAATGCAATGCATAGCGGCAATCGATGGATGAAGAGAGAGTTTGTAAATACCCATATCTTTCCACTTGTTCAGGAGCTTACCTTTTGGAGTTCACATCGTTTACACGATCTCTCATGCTGTCTTGCACCTTGGTTTTGTTGACCATGGATACGCCAACTCAGAAAACATTCTACAGGAGCTACTAATGCAGAGCGTTTTTCACGCTCGATCTCGGCGATCTACCTTGTCACGCCAATAAAATCCTCCGTGACACTGGCTACAGTCACAAGAGACGTCTCAGTAAGGTAATGAGCACGACAACATCGTCGAGATCAAGGACAAAGAGAAAACAAAACACTCACTGAAAACAGCAAAGAAGAAACGAAGAAATGTACACGATTCCTATATGTTACCACTGACAACTGGGTCGGTGGAGACGACGCTACTTTTGTTTGTCCCCAGTGGGATCGTTGTTATGCGTATCGAAGGAACTGTGACGTCATCACTTAACAGCCCCATTAGTATTATAAGAGTCCCTGCTGTAGATGCACGTGTAACGCTAGCACTTGCCACTTGAATGTATGTACTCGACTAATCGGCTAGGGGTAAACGGGCTATGCTTTATCGGATTATCGGGAAATGACCAGATTATGCTCTAGCGGATGCTCGAGAAAACTGCCAATTATGCTTCTATAATGCTTCACCAAAAAGAACAGATGACCGTCATGAAAAAAGGCCACTCAGACAAAGGACTCATACAATTGTCATGATGTGGACTGGCAGAATGCCAGGTGTGTCTTTACCACCATATTTATCAACCAGTGGACTGGGAGCTTTGTGCAAGTACGAGACAATAAATAATATGCGAGAGGAATACCAAAATTAATGTACAAGCAAACGCTGAACATTTTGGAGATATCCTATAGTGGCTGCTAAAATATTATTGAACCCGGATGGTGAGCCAATATAGTTATGATGAAGAAAGGAAAAGGACAAAATGTTACGAGTTATGACAAACTGTCCACGTAAAATATTATTCTAAATCGACAAGATGCGCTATGGATGGTCCTTCAATAGCGGGTTTGTATATAACAGCCTCATTGGGGCATCTGCCATTGCTTTCGGATGCCATTTTATGCTCCTTCTCAAAAAGGACCTCATTATGCCAACAATTATGCCGACAGGCCCATGGCCGATAGGAGCCGAGTATGGCCAGGCGCAGCGGGAGTGAGCAGGGCTTGCAGTTCTGGACTTGGCAGGGCATATCGACAGCGCCACACAAGGTACAGGATCGAGCTTCTGGGTGAAAACTTCTGCCCAAACGGAACACTTCCACGCGCTCTAGCAAAGCGTTGCCGGAGCACCATGGGGGACGGTCGGCCGAATACCGCCCGAACTCTCCATTATTCTGGAGGACTTGACTGATGATCAAGGTAGTTTTGTGGCAGGGAGCTCGAATACGCGTTGGAGGCATACAGCAGGTTAGACATGATCAGAGATTTGAAGTACGTCATGCGTGCATCAGCAGGCTGTGTATCATTGCTTCATCGATTTCCGTAAGGCCTTTGATAGGGTTTGGCATAAAGCGCTATTCAAGATTATGAGAGCGCATGGCATCGAAGGAAGAATTGTGGACCTGATTGAAACGCTTTACGCTACTACTGAAGCTGCCATCGTTGTTAGATCCACTATCACCGACTGGTTCACCACGTCAGTGGGTGTCAGGCAGGGCTGTTTACTCTCGCCTTGTCTGTTCAACGTATTCCTGGGGTACATCATGTCTGACGCTTTGGAGGAGTTTGATGGGTCAGTATGTATCGGCGGCATGTGCGTGACCAACCTACGTTTTGCGGATGATATAGATCTAATTGCATCGTCTGTGGAAGAGCTGATGGACCTGACCGAGCGCGTGGATACGAGTGCAGCAAGACTAGGCATGCAGATCAATGCTTCCAAGACCAAGTCAATGGC